GATACTTGCTTCTCTTGTACTCTTGTTCTTTCAGTCAACATTTTATTAAAGCAATTTACAGATTTTCTCAGGCATGTAAATTCCATTAACCATCTACATATCTGTTTTACCTTTATGATTTCAATGCCTTTTAAATTCAACTGATTTTTTGAGGAGTTTTTATTCTTTCTGAAAATTTTGAATTTCAAAGAGAATGGATAATTAATCCTTAATAAGTAACTCAGCCACTTAGTTTTCTTAAAGAAACTTATTTAGATTGCAGATTTTAAAATTAACTTAGCATATTATGTTGTCATTGCTTATAAAATCTACCTTTAGTGGACGCAAATGAGAATTACTTTAAAAACATATATGGAGAGATTAGATTTTATACCTAGTACATAAATCTCTTGATTCAAAACATTTGACAAAAATACCATAAGTTGAAATTGAGTTATCTTTCACTGAAGCCAGTTCTCCAGCAGTATCAGTAGTAGAACTGGGGCTCTTTACCATTCCAGTCTGTTGCTCTAATAAGCAACACGGGTGTATACAGGTGAGATTTTCATCTAGTTAGCATTCCTTCAGAGGGCTACATCTTCTAAACCTTTCTAACTCAACAAAAGCAGAGTATGCAAACATCCTACACAGTGTACAACTACAGATAGTTGATGAATAAATGTCAAAGCTAAACATAACCAGAAAGAGCTGCAGAACAAGCTTTTCTACAGACAAAGAGACAAAATCGTAAAAGGGCTAGATCTGGAAAAAAACATCCATGAAGATCATGGATTTTAGAGTTTAGACCCCTGATTCATCTCTACTTATGCATAATCTGTTTTGGAACCCATTGCATATGCCACTATTTCCAGTAACTGATCCAAAATTGAGTTCTATCCTGGAATGTTGTGGTTTCCAAATACTAAATTGTTTACCAGATATAGAACAATACAGATTTTTCATCAACTTACCCAGGCCTCTTCTGACCACCATTTCCTTAGTATCCTAACAAGAAATTCTGAATTTCTCTTACTGGTATATAAGCTCACAGGCTGATGTGAATTTGTCTTCTTTCTCACTGAGGAGATTTCTCTGCTTTCCCATGCCCTGCATCATTCTTTCATCCCTAGGGCCTGATCTTTCCATTTCCTGTGGGGTAGATGCTTGGCCCAAATGTGTGTAATTATGAAGTTTCCCTTGGGATCTGGGGTGGTGGGAGGGGATAGTTCTTGGTGCCTGGTGCACACAGTTTGTGTCTCAGGAGAAGAATCATAGAAAACAATTAACTGAGCATTTGTCAAAAATACTGGCACGTGCACATGTCTTTTAACTCCCCAAAGATTTGCCTTCTGCTTTGCTAACCTCAGGATACTGGCCAGCCAGATGGAAAGACTGCCAAGCACATCCAGCTAATGTAGCCAGAAGGCCACTCCATTTGAGTATCTGGAAATCATTCTTTCACTCACTTGGGAGGTTCTGATGCCTCTTTATTTCCTCAGAAACAAGGCCCACCCCAAAGATTTCAAGAGCAGATTGCAACCCAGTCTCCACAAGTGAACAAGCTGTGAGATTGGAAATCTGCAGCTCCTCTCTTGCTCTATTTACAGCAATACATTTTTCCCACAGCAACATAGGTTTACAGCCTCCCAAGATCCTTCTCATGAAAGGCAACAGAATGCAGTGTCAAGTTAAGTTAAGATGAGCAATTAGGGAAATCTGTAGCTACTGAGAATGAGGTTCCCAGTTGAGTATCAGAAGCGACCACATAAGGTGAGGGTTTGCCTCTTTTCCATCTGTTGTCAGAACTAATGAAGAGAAGCAGAAGGCATTGGTTTGCTTCTCAAATTCCCAGCTCCGCTTCTCACTTGCCAATAATGATGCACTGCGTAGGGGACGAATCTTCATTCCCATATCTCTTCCCTTGTTTTGGTGGTGGGCTGGCCACATCCAGAAGGGAAAGAGAAGTGAAATTCCCTGAATGTAGATGGGTGGGCAAGGTTCTACCAAGGTCAGTCCTTGAGCAGGAGAGCTCCTTTACCTGCAGCACCTCCCCAGAATGTTTGAAAACAAACCCCATCTTTCACTCTGCACTTTTCTCCTTCTTGCCTCAGATTAAAATGCCCCCTTTTTAAAAAATCGAGCAAATACAATAAAGATAAAAAAGTGACAGAAATTTAGTGGAAATAAATTGATACTTAACTCTTCCTCCTCCCCACCCCTTCCATTCCTTAAATTAGAAACAATACTTCAGTAATGATCTTTCTAATACATAAATGTAACCATATCACTTCCTTGCTTTAAAATCTACAACTGTTATTTAAAGTCAAGTTAATGGTCTTTAGCATAATACTCCCCCACAACCCCCACCCCTGCCAAACTCAAGCCATGCTGAATTATTGCAGCTCCTTACATCATCAGGTACCTTTAGAGTTTCCACACCTGCACACAAGCCACTCCCTATACTTGAAATGCCTTTATTTCATGGTCTTGCAAAACTGCTAATTTAAAATGCCATTCAGATGACCCTTTCATTTGAAAATCTCCAATTCTACCAAGAATAGCACTTGCTCTCTTTGCACCACAGAATTATGTGTGTATCTCTTTTATAACATGATATTATATTGGTTTTGTTAGTGCTGTTTACTTGCATGTCCCTCCTGGTGGACTGATATCTTTGGGGGCAGGGGTTTTGTGTTATTGTCACATTAACCCCAAGGTTTCTGAATGACTGCAGTGTAGTAAGTTCATCACACTGTTGCAGAATGAATGGACAAAACTGGTAAATGTAACTCAACTTTATATATATTTCCCCATTTTCTAAATTCTCACCTTAAGAAAGATGCTTTTTCCTCCTTTTCCACATTTTGTTGAAGTAGTACAGTCTTTCCTCTCTTCCCCTTATTCCTATTTTAAATTATTGATTTTATAGTTTTTTGGAAAAGAAGGTATTTGGCACAGCATCCTTCTCTCTACTGTCACTATCATGGCTAAATTCTCCTATCAGAGATCCAGAGACCTCAGCTTCTGTCAAGCAGCCTTCTCTCAAGGCCGCAGCACTTCCTGGGGTCTGTGCTCCCTCTTATTCATTGCACTGGGGCCCAAGAGTGAAGAACACTTCCCTTTATGACCAATCCCTTGGTTATTTTCCCTTCAGATGTGTAAACAGTCCCTTCATTAAATGCTATTTACCCTTTGAATGAGCCATTTCTTTCCTGCCTCGACCCTGACTGATACTGTGGTTGACAAATAATAATAATTGACTTACTATTTATTAATTAATCTCTTAATTTATAAACAAAAGTAGGGATTTATTTCACTGAGTTATATCGTATCCACAATGATATCTGTGGGAGTCAGGAACCAGTCTTGAAAATGTGTAGTGAGCCCAGAGAAATATTCTCCATTGAAGTTGAAATTTGTATTTTCAGACTTTCCTGTTATATACATTTTTCTCGCTCATGCAACAAACGTTTATTAATCACCACTTTCTCTTTATTCCTATCTCTCAATTTTTTGTCTTATCTTTTCCCTTTTCCATGTGAGAATATTCTTAAATCATAAGGCAGAAAACTTCAACTCCTTGCTATGTAATTAAGCAAGTCTCTGGACCTCGGTTTCCTCATCTATGAAATGGGGAGGATAATAACTCTTTTACAGAACGCAAAGAGCTGCTGAGTAAATCAAATAGAACAGTTTTATATACAACCTATAATTACATTTACTACTTTTATTGTTTTTGCTGCTTTCATGTTTTTAATTGTCTTTCCTTAATAGTGCTTCTTTTTCTTTTTAATTCTTTTTCTTTCTGCTGTTTTAGGTTTTCCTCCCTTTCCATGATATTCTTTTCATGCTCCTCTTCCACAAATGCTACGCTCTTGACTAGTCTGTTGGAAATACTCTGAAAGACCAGTTATTCTATACCTCAGCTCCTTTGGGACTGTCCTATTCCTTTTTCTCTTTTGCCTTGGTGACTTTCTTAAAAGCATGTTTAAGAAAATATTCCCCCGCAGTAAAAGGATAAAAATTCTAGAGAAATATAAACTTGGACCTAGACTGAAACAGATATATAATTCTCCTTTGTTGAAATGGTTTGGCTCTGTGTCCCCAATCCAAATCTCATCTTGAATTGTAATCCCATAGTACCCATGTGTCAAGGACAGGACCTGGTGGGAGGTAACTGGATGATGGGGGTGGTTCCCCCAAGCTGTTCTTGTGATAGTGAGTTCTCACAAGATCTGATAGTTTTATGTGTTTAACATTTCCTCCTACATACACTTTTTCTCTCTAGCCACCTTGTGAAGAAGGTATCTGCTTCTCTTTCCTCATAATTGTAAGTTTCCTGAGGCAATCCCAGCCTGGTAGAACTGTGAATCAATGAAACTTTCTCTGTTGATAAATTACCCAGTCGTGGGTATTATCTTTATACCAGTGTGAGAATGGACTAACAGATTTGTTTTGTGGTTTTTGAGACTAAGGTTCACAGCGAATACCAGAAAGGTTTCTAGGGTTCAATTGATCACAGCCTGAATAGTCTCTTCATATGCTACTGTTGTAATTAGTGGTGTAATAACAGTGGTGTAATAACAAGGTATTGTCCGTTTTCTCTCACAGCTGGCACTGAGATCAATGCTTTCTCCACTGCACCACATTGTCTCTGCAGAAGTTTTCAGCATTGCTCTTTTATGAGATGGTCTCTTTAATTAACTCATAGAATGCACAGAATTTGCATCACTCTTGGTTAATATCTACTTTCCAGTGACTTAGTTGTTTATTTTTAAAAGTTACTCTTAGCTCCTTAAGGATGTGAGAAAACTCCATGAAGGAAGAATTGAATTCAGCACTAAAAGAGTAACTTTTTTCAATCTTAACTTAAATGTCATTTCTATTATTTTTATTAAAGAATTCAAAATTGAAATGATTTGTCCATATACATGTTTTAATTATTTTGCAGTGTGTGGCATGTATTCATAAAATATTAGTTTAAGAAACCAAATATAAGATAATCTGAGTTACTGGTTTACCTTCAGGTGACATAGGAATCACAACCAGGATACAGTTCTTAAGAATCTTAGTTGACACCAGAGATTGTCATTGTCCAGGGTCTCTCCTTGGAGGCGACTTGGTGCACTGAAAATGGAGATCATGAAGGCATCAAAGAATGCTCAGAGAATCCCTTGAGAAGCATTGTAATAGTACTTTTCTTATAAAGTGTGAGCATTTATAAGAGAACTTCATGAAATGACTGTTATGTTGCTTTATTCGGGGTTCTTTAACATCATCATCGGCAGTGGCACTTTTATAGAAATGCAAACAAACAAAAATCACCCGAGCTGATGAAAACAACTATGGAAGCATCTGGTACAGTATCTAGTAGAGAGGGAGTATTAATTACCTCTTCATTCATGGAAAGAAGGAAGGAAAAAGGGGAAGGAGAGAGAGAAAAGATGGGAAAGGCTTTTAAAAACAGATGATATATACTAGAGGCTGGGAAGCGTGAGTGGGTGGGTGAAGCAAGGATGAAGAGAGGTAGGTTAACAGGCGCAAACATACAGTTAGATAAAAGGTACAACTTCTATTGTTCAACTGCAGAGTTGAGCAACTATAGGTACAACAATGCATTATATATTTCAAAACAGCTAGAAGAGAGTAGCTTGAATTGTTCCCGATACATAGAAAAAAATAATCAAGTGATGAATACCTCAAATATCCTGATTTGATTGTTACACAACCTATGTATGTAACAAAATACCACATCTACCTCCATTAAAATGTAAAATACTATGTATCAATAAAAAGTAAAAATACAAAATTAAAAGCAGATTTTAATGGGCAAAATAACCAGCTAGCATCATTATGACAGGATCAAATTCACACATAACAATATTAACCTTAAATGTAAATGGGCTAAATGTCTCAATTAAAAGACACAGACTGGTAAATTGAATAAAGAATCAAGACCCATCAGTGTGCTGCATTCAGGACACCCATCTCACGTGCAAAGACACATATAGGCTCAAAATAAAGGGATGGAGGAATATTTACCAAACAAATGAAAAGCAAAAAAAAAAAAAGCAGGGGTTGCAATCCTAGCTTCTGATAAAACAGACTTTAAACAAACAAAGATCAAAAAAGTCAAAGAAGAGCACTACCTAATGATAAAGGAATCAATGCAACATGAAGAGCTAACTATCTTAAGTATATATGCACCCAATACAGGAGCACCCAAATTCATAAAGCAGGTTCTTAGAGACCTACAAAGAGACTTAGACTCCCACACAATAATAGTGAGAGTCTTAACACCCCACTGTCAATATTAGACAGATGAACAAGACAGAAAATTAACGAGGATATTCAGGAGTTGAACTCAGCTCTAGACCAAGCAGACCTAATAGACATCTATAGAACTCTCCACCCCAAATCAATAGAATATCCATTCTTCTTAGCACCACCTCACACTTATTCTAAAATTGACCACATAATTGGAAGTAAAACACTACTCAGCAAATGCAAAAGAACGGAAATCATAACAAACAGTCTCTCGGACCACAGTGCAATGAAATTAGAACTCAGGATTCAGAAACTCACCCAAAACTGCACAACTACATGGAAACTAAACAACCTGCTCCTGAATAACTACTGGGTAAATAATGAAATTGAGGCAGAAATAAAGAAGTTATTTGAAACCAATGAGAACAAAGATACAACATACCAGAATCTCTGAGACAGGGCTAAAGCAGTGTTTAAAGAGAAATTTATAGCACTAAATGCCCATAGGAGAAAGCAGAAAAGATCTATTATCGACACCCCACCCTAACATCACAATTAAAAGAACTAGAGAAGCAAGAGCAAACAAATTCAAAGGCTAGCAGAAGACAAGAAATAACTAAGATCACAGTAGAACTGAAGGAGATAGAGACATGAAAAGCCCTTCAAAAAATCAGTGAATCCAGGAGCTGGTTTTTTGACAAATAACTAGACTATTAGCTAGAATAATAAAAAAGAAAAGAGAGAAGAATCAAATAGACCCAATCAAAAATGATAATGTGGATATCACTACTGATCCTACAGAAATATGAACTATCATCAAAGAATACTATAAACACCTATATGCAAATAAACTAGAAAATCTAGACGAAATGGATAAATTCCTGGACACATACACCCTCCCAAGACTAAACAAGGAAGAAGTTAAATCCCTGAATAGATCAATATCAAGTTCTGAAATTGAGGAAATAATTAATAGCCTACCAACCAGAAAAAGCCAAGGACAAGAAGGAATCATTGCTGAATTTTACCAGAAGCACAAAGAGGAGCTGGTATTGTATTCCTTCTTAAACTATGTCAAACAACAGAAAAAGAGGGACTTCTTCCAACCTCATTTTATGAGGCCAACATCATCCTGATACCAAAACCTGGTAGAGACACAACAAAAAGAAAAATTTGGGACAGTATCCCTGATGAATTTTGATGTGAAAATCCTCAATACTGGCAAACAGAATCCAGCAGGACATCAAAAAGTTTATCCACCATGATCAAGTTGGCTTCATATCTGCAAGGCAAGGCTGGTTCAACATATGCAAATCAATAAACATAATCCATCACATAACAGAACCAAAGACAAAAACCTCATGATTATCTAAATAGATGCAGAAAAGACCTTCAATAAAATTCAACATCCCTTCATGCTAAAAACTCTCAATAAACTAGGTATCAGTGGAACATATCTCAAAATAATAAGAGCTATTTATGACAAACCCACAGCCAATATCATACTGAATGGGCAAAAGCTGGAAGCATTCCCTTTGAAAAGTGGCACAAGACAAGGATGCCCTCTCTCACCACTGCTATTCAACATAGTATTGGAAGTTCTGTTCAGGGCAATCAGGCAAGAGAAAGAAAGAAAGGATATTCAAATAGGAAGAGAGGAAGTCAAACTGCCTCTGTTTGCAGATGACATGATTGTATATTAAGAAAACCTCATCATGTCAGCCCCAAATCTCCTTAAGCTGATAAGCAACTTCAGCAAAGTTCAGGATAAAAGATAAATGTGCACAAATTACAAGCATCCCTATACACCAATAATAGACAAACAGAGAGCCAAATCATGAGTGAACTCCCATTCACAATTGCTACAAAGAGAATAAAATTCCTAGGAATACACTTACAAGGGATGGGAAGGATGTCTTCAAGCAGAACTACAAACCACTGCTCCAAGAAATAAGAGAGGACACAAACAAATGGAAAAGCATTCCATGTTCATGGATAGGAAGAATCAATATTATGAAAATGGCCATACTGCCCAAAGTAATTTATAGATTCAATGCTATCCCCATCAAGTTACCATTGACATTCTTTATAGAATTATAAAAACTGCTTTACATTTCATATGGAACCAAAGAAGAGCCTGTATAGTCAAGACAATACTAAGCAAAAAGAACAAAGCTGGAGGCATCATGCTACCTGACTTCAATCTATACTACAAGGTTACAGTAACCCCAACCACATAGTACTGGTACCAAAATAGATACGTAGACCACTGGAACAGAACAGAGCCCTCAGAAATAATGCCACACATCTACAACCATCTGATCTCTGACAAACCTGACAAAAACAAGCAATGGGGAAAGGATATTTAATAAATAGTGTTGGGAAAACTGGCTAGCCATATGCAGAAAACTGAACCTGGACCCATTTCTTAATTACATAAAAATGTAAACTTCTTTGGCCAAGTCCATTCAAGGCTCATCAAGGACTACACTTTCTACCTTTGTGGACTATAAAAGACAGTCTTTTCTATCTATGAAAAACTCCTTGTGTAAGCCCAGGATTTGGAAACCACCATCCTCTCCTGAACATAATGACAGCAGTTGACATTTATTTAGGACTTACCATGTGCCAAGCAGTGTTATAAGTACTTCTCACATGTTAATCACCAGGAAAGCCTGTGACGTGGGTATTATCATTACTTTCAGGGTGCTTAGGCAGAGAGATTAGAATTTGCTTATGTTGTACAGAATGGTAACTGAAAGGGCCAGGATTAAAACCCAGGCAGTCTGTCTCCAGAGTCCTCACTCTTAATTTCTTTATAAACATCCTGCCCCTTTCAGCCTTCCCTAAGTCTCCCAAATAAATGAAGTCTCATGTGGGCACCTTCTTTCCCAGTTAATGAAAATATTCATGTCCTCTCTTTAAAAGACCACATGTGTAGCAGTTGCTAGTAGTGAGTGAGACTTTGCCCATCCTCAAAGAGAGCCACAGTGTCTGCTTGATAAAAGCCACAATTTTCCTGACCTGCTCTGAGGCTGGACTCCTCAAAGAAAATGCAGGCAGACACTTGGCAACGGGGTTCTCCCAGACTCTCAAGCACAGGGCTGTGTTAGTGTTGGCAGTGGGGGACGGTTTGCTTCCTCCCTGTTTCATGAACTGTCACATCAGCCTCTTTGATCCTCCCAGGGTCTCAAGTGTGCCAAGATCATTACTCCACGTTATTGCTCTGTTTCAGATAATTGCCAGAGAAAACGCTTGGTAATGACCAAGGTAGGGAAATATTGCTCCCTGCACGGTATACCATTTATATATTACATGCTCAGAAAGGCTCCAGAGTGGAGGCATTGCTTATTTTTATTGTCCCAAAGCCATGAGGGGAAAAAGCAGGAATGAACAGAAATTGATACATCTGGAACAAGAGCCAGGCATGATTTACTCACATTTTTACCTGACCTGAAATTGCTTATTTAGAAAAAAGAAACATTATAAAGTCTCAGGAAAATGTCATGAATCAGAGCCAGCATGACTTCACATTAGGCCTTCATAAACTGTGTGTGCATAGTTTTTTTTTTTTTAAAGCAAAGAAACTGTCCAGGAAAATCAAGTGAGCCAAAGGTAGCTCTGCCACCATGACCATCACCATAGCAACCGTGTAAGAGCATGATAGCACAGCACGGGAGGCCCATAGCTCAGGACTGCAAACGGATGGAAACCTGTTGGTTCACTAGAGCTCCTTCTTACTATGAAAAGAGGATGGGCACTGACTTGGGAAAGTAACAAATAAGAGACAACAGACTCATTATTATACTGTTGCCTTGAAAATAAACTGATCATACACTACATCACTGAAACAACTACAG